TTGGAAGATTCTGATTTCTTGCATGAGTTTGGGAGTACTAGTGGTGGTATTCTCCGAGTTATTTTTTTTTCTTTCGTGAAGTTTGAGAGATTTCTAAGCCTCATTTTGGAAAAACATTTGGTTGACTTGATTAATCCTACGTCTTTGGGGTTTGAAAAATCAGCGCAAAGTGACCCTTTATGTTTGTTAGGAAAGATCTTAGACCATACTTTTTCAGGTTTTTTCGATAGGAGTTTTGAGAACTGATCTATTCTCTTTTTCGGTGTTTTAGATGGATCAGTGCCTCCTCTCTCTCACCTCATTTTTTTGTTAGGCCTTTGCACAGCCAGACCGTGCAGTTTAAGCCCTAACTCGTTCTAGGTTCCGAAGTTGTCGTCCGATACGACATAAATCTTCATAGTTTGTAGACGACTTGTGTGATCATGTCATGCAAGTATAAGCCCTAATTAAATAAAATTGGCAGGATGAAACACTTGAATAATTTCTTCTCAAAACTGAAGTCAAATCCTAAAATAGACTGGGAAGCCACCGAGGTTCGCCTTAGGATCCGTGGCCTCCCCTAGTTTCTCTTCATTTGGATTCCTCAACAAAGTTCCTGATTTGAGTCTTTCCCCTTTCACATCTCTTCGTTCGATTTCGTTGAAAAGTCTTATCCTTTTGACTTCTTTGAAGATAATATTCTCTGATTTTTATCGAGAGTTTTCTTAAGTGACTTCGGTCATTTAAGATGTTATTAACTATAGGGGCTTGCCTTTATAGGAAGTTTTTCCGAACCCAGCCTAAAATAAACCTTATTTAATTCTTTGTATTAAATAGGGAAACCTGTTGGCAAATAAAACGGTTTCGCAGACCAAACGGATGTCATATATTTCTTAGTTTATTTAATCGAGCCTCATTCTCAAGTCTTGTGTTTATCCCTCGGGATAGATACAAGATTTGAGATAGAGCGCTCTTTCATTTAAACTGTGAAAAATATGAGGTCTGTTTGATTTCATATTTTTCTAAAATTATACATATATATGTAAATTAAATATCCTTCCGAAGCGGGGAACGAGATTTCAATTCCGGTGACCGACAGCTTCTTACGGGCAAACCTCCCCAACTTTAATCTTTCTTTTTTTTAGCGCCGACACCTTGCTGATTTGCTGCCCATCCCTTACATAGTAGCTAGTCACCTCTCCGGCCTTCACCGCAACTGACTCCCCCTCATCAAGCTTGTTGTGTCTTCTTTTGTCGAGCCTTTATTTGTAATACTTTGTTTTTCGCTTTGTTATGTGTGTTGTCCTCTTTTCTTTTGAGTCTTCATTGTAACCTTATTAAAGTCATTAATAAAATTCTGTCGTGCTTCGTGGTTTCGGTTAACTCCAGTATGAAGTTTGCTGCTCTTGTCGCAACCGCTGTCCTTTACTGCCAACATCCTCCTCCCTTGCTATCGCAACTTAGAACTGTCCTTTCTGGTCGGCTCATTGCCACCACCCTTCCAGCCCCTCTTTTTATTGTCCCAACCACTTACAACCCATTTCAACCACCTATCTCCACTCCCGGAGTACCTAGCCGACTTCCACCACTGCCAGATCGAACCCCAGTATGAGTTTGCATCTTATTTGTTGTAATTTACTTTTCAAGTGTGTTTGATTGTAACTATTTGTTTGTTTTTAGTAATATTATTTATTTTTTCTATTGTAGTTTGGGTTAACTCCGACATCATTTGATATTAGAGTTAAATTATTTTTAGTCATACCTTAGAGTTTTTAACATCTACGATACCCTACTCCACCTCCACTTAAAAATTATTTTCTTTGCTGATATTTTTTAAATCGGTCACCCACAAATTTTCTCTAACTATACCTCATCCCTTTACACCCAATTTCACCTATCCAAACCTTAATCATTCCTCCAGGGAGACAATAGTCGGACGTCGATATGAAATTTATCATAGAAGAAATACAACGACTACCGGCGAGCGCTACAACGGCTCGATGAAATTGATGAAAGAAGCCAATCCAAAATGGTCACCCATAGTTATGACGATGACTTGCTAGATTGAAGAAATAGTATGCATCTCTTCCACTATATCGATGTCAGGGATGAAGAACATTTATCCGGAAGGCTTGACCTGAAATATCTAAGAAGCCAAAATTTTGAAGTAAAGGTAGATTTTTCATATTTTGACCGCCTCTTTGATTCAGACGAATTCATCAAGTGACTTCAGACTGTTAAACTTTTCTTTGAGTACCAAGAGGAAACTAGCCAGTAGCAAGTTAAAAAAGAGTGGATTATTTTGATGACAAAATTTGAAGCATCTATACCAACGTGAGAAAAAATATAAGATCACTACTTGGTCCCAAATGATATGGGAGATGCAGTGCCAATACTTATCAGTTCATTACGGCAAGATGTGCACCCTAGCTTCAAAAGTAAAGATAATAATTATTGGATGACGACGACGTCTTAAAAGCAGAGTTTAACCAAGGATCTTACATCAAGGGTACGCTTAGAGGAACATCCAAGCCGACCTCACTTGAGGGGACACTAGGTCAGAGCGGAGAACAAGCGTAACTAATCCATTGTCTTAATTTGTCCTAGCCAAAAAATGCTTCAAGTGTCATAGATTTGGGCATACCAAATTTGATTGCATAACCGAAGAATGATCTCTTTCACTGATCAGGTAATAGTTCAAGAGATAAACTGTGATCGAGAAGAAGATGAAGTTTTCAGATAGTATTTTCAACTTCTAGCCGATGAAGAAGAGATGCCAGTGATTCCAATTGAACCCAATGGAGAGACTTCAACTGAGTTGACAATAGTTGTTCTAAAAGGTAGTAAATTTGAGGTAATAGACGTTCATTCAGAGTATGAGGCTGTGGTGCCTCAAACTTCTTTTTTGTAGTTGTTCGGAGTAATATCAGCAGGATCAACATTGGATGTCCAAAAGGGTCATGAGTTTTTGGAGCCTATATTAGATACAGGGCAAGCTAACTAAGAGAAATTCAAACTCTTCAAATATATAGACTACTTTCTGCTGAGGGAGGTCTAATATGTTTGATGCGAGACTCTTTTGTGGCACTTTTGAAAGCCTATAGGGAGTCATTTGGGTATTAAAATCGGTTCATCAATGTAACCCTCGACAGAAGATTAAACAAGATGGATGAGCTGCGGTATTTGAGTCCACCTCATGATCTTTGTGGGAAAAAAACATTCTAAAATGGGATCTAGTTCTTTCCGGAGAACAAGAAGATGCCTCTTCTAAGTGGTTATGCGTCAGTGTGGTTCAGTCTGCCCAAGATATCGTTTCAGAGTTTACCTTTCCTGACAGTCAGATACATTCAATCTAGTATGAGGAGTGTAAGAAACAAATTACAAACTAAGGGCTCAAGAGTTACTTTATGAAAATCTACGTAGATATGCAACTCTAACTCAGATTATGCCAAAAGAAAATAAATATTTATTTGTCATGATGTACTTTGGAATGACAGTGCTTACATAACCGACTTACTATGAGATTACACCATTTTCACTGTCTGCAACTGGGCCTTCCCGACGTCTTACTATGAGAAGACAGAAGCTTCAACGGATGAGATCAAAGCTCTCTCAACCTCGGGAGACTAACGCGGAGCGGGATGCTTTCCCACAAAAACGCCTTGATGTGGTAAGTCAGACGACAAGAAATGACCCTCAATTCGTACCTCGATCGAACTAGTCTTTTTCTTTAAATTTTTATTTTTACACCGAGGAGTTGGTCGATCTTTTTGGGCCAATTCTAATTATCTTATTACTATATTTTAGTTTTTCGTGTTTTAGGTGAAGAATTTTTTTTGTGTGTTTTGTATTGGGACGGTCGACTACACATTTTCTTCCCTTTGAGTGTTGTATCCTAGGGTTCCAAGTGGTGTTTTGGTTTTATCTGGTTTTCTAGGTGGTGATTATTTTCCTTATCCCTTCTCGCATCCCTCCCGCTGCAGCGATGAACCTTCATCATCGCTGTAGCTGCCCCGAAAACAGTCATTTTGTTGTTATTCCTGTAGTTCCTTGCTGTTCAACCATCATCCTCGTGGTTGCTTCTTTAAGATAGTCCTCTGATTGTCCTGCAATCCCATGCCTTCGCCGCCGCCACCACCATGATTAACGCTCGTCGTTGCCTCAACAAACATTCCTAGCTCTTTTTTGTTGTTCCAGCCATGCAATTAGCTCTCTCATTCCAATCTGCTGCCCTTTCCACAACTCTTCCCCTTCTTCCCCTTCGTTGCCGACGTCCTTCTTCCTTGCTACCTCAACGCAGGACCATCCTTTCCATCCGAGCCGTTGCTGTCCGACCCTTCCTCTTTGCTACCACCACCCTTCAAGCCCCTCCTTTTTACTGTCCCAATCACCCACAACCCATTTCAGATTCCTACCTCGCTCCCCGACCACCTAGCAGACCTTCACCACCTATTGATCGAATCCTAATGTCAGTTTGTGTTGTGCTTGTTGTAATTTTCATTGCAAGTTGGTTGATTGTAATCGTCTGTTTGCTTTTAGTAATATTATTTGCTTATCTTATTGTGATTTGGGTTAACTCCAGTATCACAAATATATATATTTTTTTGTTTATTAGTTTACTAAATTTTGAATTCATTAAAGTGGACCTTTACACTTACATCGATATTTTGTTCAATTTGTTAAAGGTGAATGTTTTAAAAGAATTTGACAAGTAAATCTCCCTCTACTTGTTAATCTTAAATGTGCATAATTTATCACAATTAATTTTGAAGTCATTTGTTCATATATATATATATATCATCTCCCTCAACAAGGAACAAGAATCAGTTTATAACTTGCATATATACCAGTCTGAACGAAGGCAAGCATCATAGACAAATAGCAAGTGTTGCCTAGTAAGAAAATCTGAAGTCATTTGTTCATATATATATATAATTATATTAATTTTGAAGTCATTTGTTCATATATATATATATATCATCTCCCTCAACAAGGAACAAGAATGAATTTGCTCTTTTCAGGCTGAAGACATACAAGGCGAGTCATATCCTTTCTTAGATCAACTAACATCCACGATCAGTACCAAAAACTTGGAACGAGTTCGTCGATTAAAAAGCAGACTCGTCACTTTGACCAGAAGGGTTCAGAAAGTATGCCACTGATTCCTTCAGTAGCTCGTTCATATCTGTTTCTTCTATTTGCTCCTCATGTTTCAAGTTCTTTTGTGAAGGTGAGAGATGAGATTGAGCAGTTGATGGATGATGATGGTGATATGGCAGAAATGTACCTCACGGAGAAGAAAATCCGGAGGGAAAACTCATTTAATGGTGGTCAGGCTTTGCTAACCTACAATTCTGTTGGCCCTAGAGTATCGTCTTCTGTTCCTGTTAGTCCTGTTTCTTCCCCACCTGAATCTAGGAAGCTTGACAAAACCCTGAGCCTTGCCTTTAGCAGGCATAGTAGCAGTACACGCAGTTCAGAGAGTGGTGCTCAAAAGATACAGGAGCTTGAAATGTTATTAGAAGCATATTTTGTAGTTATTGATAACACTTTAAACAAGTTAAATTCGGTAATTATTTCTTTTGTTTCTCTATGAATTGTTTATTACATTGTTGAGATATGGGGTAATTTTTCTCTGTGCTCTTTCAGCTGAAGGAATACATCGATGACACGGAGGATTTCATCAACATTCAGCTGGTATTTTCTTTTTGCTAATCATATCATTGATTTTACTGTTGAGTTGACATTCTGCTTAATATTCTACGTCACCTTCAATGTTAAAAAGGTTTGTAAGATAACAATACATTGCACTTCACTGAAGATAGGTTGTGAAAAAAAGTTTATGCACTAAAAGAGCAGTCAAAATGGCATTTTGTTCGCTAACAGTTTGTGTTCGGCTCGTTGAGAAACTTGTGTTCAATTCGCTTTCTAAGCAAATGATCCGAACATGAACAATTTTTTTTTTTTTGCGCTCGATATATAAACGAGCCGAACACAAATAAAAAATTGTTTGTTTGTGTTTGACTGGTTTTGGCTTGAAATAATTAAATTATATATATATATATATATACATACATACATATAATTGATGAGTAGTATTTTTAAATAATTAATTGTCTACAAGGCTACAAAGATTTATAATCAATTAAAATTATTAATTAAAAAAAATTGAATAAAAATAAAATAAATTGTTTTTAATGATGTTTTAATATAAATAAAAAGATTTTAATTCTCGCTCCTACCCTTGATATCCTACTGCTGCGTGACTAGGATTGTCAAAAGGGCTCTTTGTTCACAAAGATTTTATATCTGTGTGTGTGTGTGTGTGTGTTATGTATGCTTGATTATCACCAAATATCTCAATGGATTTAGTTTTAACTATGTTTTTGTTAGACAAGCATAATTTTTTTCCTTTCAATTTTACATTGTTTGTTACTTAACAAACAATTGTCCGTGCCATAGCGCATTTATGATTTGCAGTCCTATTTTTTCAGGACAGCGTTCAGAATCAGCTCATTCAATTTGAGCTGCTCCTAACAACTGTGGGGTTCATTACTGCTATATTTGGTGCGGTTGCTGGAGTATTTGGCATGAACTTTGAAGCACGATTGTTTGAGGAACCAGGTACATTCCGATGGGTACTTGTTACCACTGGAGCTTGTGGGCTGTTGATATTATTAGCCTTACTTTGTCTTTTCAGATATAGAAAACTAATGCCGATGTAATGATAGAATGAAATTCTGGTGATGTTGGATATTTGTACCAAATTCATAGTTTGATCTTTTGGAGAATAAGGATAATAGTTATATAATAATGAAATTAGTATATCACCATTTCGTGAAAAAAAAACCATTGCTATAAACTTGTAAGAATAATATTTTATAAATAAGGGCTATTTCTAACATGTACTTTTCTGCATCCTTATGATTCGAATTAATCAATCTCCACAATGATTCTTGGTTCATTAGCTTCCATCAGCCTTTTCCTTCTATAACAGCTGCAATAACATATCCTTATAGTCCTCGGCATATCTGGATCAAATGGAAAAGCTTCAAAATGTTAAGTTTGATAGAATATTTATGATGCCATTTTTTCTGGAACTCTTCTCTATTGGTTTGTTCTACTCCTGGTCTAATCAATAGGCTTGATGACCCCATTATGTTAAACGCGATAGAATACTTTTTAACAATGAGTAGATTGATGTCTACCCGCTATCATTTTATAAAGTACTCCACCCTTTCTACTTCGATCACTCATTGCAGCATCTAATGTTTTACTTACAGATTCATGTTTAAAATTTTCTGGACTAAGCTTTCTTGCTTTAGAAATACTCTGCTTCAGGCTTGGTCGACTCTTGTCGATAGACAGCAAATTTAAATCTTTGAGGGCAGCTCTTATATCTAATTGTTGGGGTATAGCTAAACTCCTCCATAGTTCCATTACAACTCTCTCTGAGGAGCAAGAAAGGCTACATCTTTTGTTTGATGCTAATCCAACAGATGAATACCTTATTCTGTAAACTAAATATACTGATGCCAAGTTATCTGATCTACCATGCCTGCCTCCTGGCTATCCCAAATAGCTAAGGCTAAATGGTTGATCAATGGAGTGGATGCTCAATTATCTTAATGCTACCATTAGGGATTTCCTTCTTTTAGGCTCTCAATTCAATGATTTTCCCCAATTTTTGTATCATGGATCAATACTTCCATATCAAATCTTTATTATTCCATCTGCATTAAATAGGGCTCTAGAAGGATTTTTTCCTTCTAGGCTGGGTTTAGCTCGGGATGCCCTCTATTTTTGTATCTCTTTTTTATTGTAATGGACAGATTGCCACAACTTTTGAGACTAAGACGTTGCGTCCAAATTTTATTGGCTTTGGCATGGAAAATTGCTCCAAATCACACTTTTTATATGCTAATGATGTTCTGGTGTTTGTTGGAGAAGCTCCCACTAACAGCCGTATGGAGCTTGTTGATTAACACTGCTAAATGCTCAAACACGTCCTAAATTCATCAAAACCCTCAATTTCCTTCTAAATTTACTAAATTTACATTCTTCTTTTCTAAACCCACCTATATTGTCTTCCCATTTTTAACATATGAACTTTCCTTTCTAACTGCTAGCCTCTCATCAATAAGATTAGATGCTCTTTGGATGGATGGAAAGTTCATTGTCTATCGCGAGTAGACTTCAACTGCATAAATATACCATCTCAGATATAAATGTCGACTGGTGTCGTGCTTTTATCATTTCAAAAGGATGCATTAAGTTCATTAGCAATTGTTGCCCCCAGAGTTATCGCTTGTGCTATTAGAATCATGAAACTTTTGGGGCATTTTCTCTTTTGCTGCTCATTTTCTAATGCACTTCTTAAAGGCTGATTGTAGTAGAGTTCTTACTTCTATCCTGGCCCTTAAATTTTTAAATATTATAATATGCTGTTGATTTGAATTATGACTATAATAGTTGCTTGAAAGGAAGATAACAAAGATGATGAGATTCGTGTTCTGGAATATCAGATGAATCTAGATCATTAGAGAAACCCAAGGAACTGCAACCCAATAAGTCGTGCAAAAATTGATGTTAGGATTTATGTCGTACAATATCAGATGAATTTAAGTTATTGGAATGATTGTTGACCTCACTTTTGGTTGAGGTCTAGAAAACTTCTTTAGTAGCCTAGGTCTAGCCATAGGACTTTCCTATTGACTAGTCTTAGAAAATTAGAAGAGGTACCCCACCATTAGAAATTCAAAACTATTCTTTTTACTCAACTTGAAATTCCACATATTGATCTTAACCTCTAGCATTTAGTAGGTAAGATCATTATAAGAGAATTCAAGAAGAGTCCTTATAGGATTACTTGGCTGTAGGGTCGACCCTGGGTGTTGACTTGGAACTAGGATACACCATATCTTCACAATATATTAATCCATGGTTCA